TCTGTCTCTTGGGTTGTTTTTGCCTTGTGCCAGACACGGCCGTGCGGATTGACGCGGGCTAGGGCGTGCCAATTGTACCTTGCTTTATTTTTGTTCTTTTCTTTGCGAAATTCTACAATTTTCTTTCCAATCAAGTGAGTTGTGATTAAAGGAAACGTTTGAATAAAAACATATCAATAATGCATAAAAACTAATTTAGATAAATTAAAAGTAATAGAAATTTAAATCATCAAAATTACAAAAAAATACTATAAAATCAACACTATCAAAATTCCCCAATCCCCAAACTTAAACTATTGCTTGTCCTCAAGTAATAAAATTCTTCTAAAAATAGCATGGAATAATTAATTGCGAATTTAATCAATAACCGAATTAATCAAAAGAATAAATTATATATATTACCTATGTAAGTTATTTTTAGCCAAAATTAATATAACATATTCTTTTTATTAAACATGAGTATAGAATATTTTGTCTCCTTCTTTTAGAATAGTGAGTATTTAGGACAAATTTAGCCTACATGTATTATTTCTCATCTCAAGGTATTTTCTAGGTAACTTCATTCTATCTCTTTAATTGGTTGCATTTTATGCTCCATACCACTTTTATTTTTATGTGGTTGCATTTTTATGCTCCATACCACTTATATATAGGGATATAAGTAACAAGTAGTTGCATTTTGCATTTTATGCTTCCATACTAACTTGGTTTTAAAAGGATTTTTGTTTTTCTTTAAAACGCGTTCATCCCTTTATTGATTTAGAAACATACATGTAAGATGGCTTCCAGTGTCCTTTTCTCTTATTCAAGTTTTGGGAATTCAAAATGCCTTCTAGACAAATGGTTAAGTTCCGGTTAGTATGTAAAATCAATTTTTGGTTTTAAAATAATTTACTTTGGAAAATATTATAATTTATTCAAAGTTCAACTAAGATAGATCATAAATTCATGCTAATATTATTCCCATTTATTTTAATTGAAATAGAATTTATAGAAATAAAATTTAATACTTTGGATAAAACGCGTCGCACCGCCCCTACTGAATTTGAGACATTGTCCTCAATGAGCAATTTCCCAAACTTTATGGTAGTGATAAGAAGTTCAGAAAGTGTACCATCGTTGGCAAGAGAATGCACTGGAGAGTGGTAGATCATCCAAGCTATGAGGTGAGAGACATAAAATAATAACCAAAATGTGGAAATGGACAAACAAAGATAAAAAAATAGATCCAAAGAAATAACTGGAATTAAGGGAAATTCAAAATGTGCATAACAAACCAATGCCAAAAAGTGTGATAATTAGAACAATAAGAGAATAAACAAAGAAGTGCAAAAGAAGTCAGGCCCTGGTGGTGGAGGAGGAGGAGGCTGAAGCAACTGGATCACAGTCTGAAGCTGAGTGGAGAGGCCCTGGTAGTGACTCTGCAAAGTGTCCAAACGAGAGTCAATGCTGCCCTGTGTGATCTCAAGAGACTGGAAGCGATCATTAATCATGGACTCCATGCCGGTAAGTCGAGTGTCGAACATATCCATGCGAGAAAACATACGAGTGTCGAACATATCCATGCGAGAAAACAATAACGGGCGAACAGCTCAATCATTTGAACACAGTGGAAGTGGCCCCTGGAATGAAAGGTTCAAGCTCCAGATGTACTGTGCCAACCGGAAGGGAAAAACCAAAGGGAAAGGAGGTGGCTGATCCTCCCTCAATGTTAGTAGCTGCAGGTATGTCCTCGTCAGTGGTTTTCCGCTGGTGCACCCTATTGACTTCGATATGTATCTCCAAATTTTTCCACAATCTTCATGGTGAATCATAAGATCAATATCTAATTCTAGTCCTCTACCAGCTCCTAAGATATCATAAAGTAGGTTTCATAAGCTGGATCCCACATCCCTCAAAATAGGTGGCAATGGCGTGTAACTAAGCTACCCAATCACATGGCTCCCTTGTCGCGAGTGCCAACTCGAGCCCCATTTTTTGTCCTAGCCAATAGCCCACAATTTAACAACACTCGCATTTTGAATGGCCCGCAGAGAAAAATAAAAAGTTCACATGCGCCCTACAACTCTTCCACTCTCATTTCGTCCAAAATAGTGTGCACGCAAAAAACTTTATGGATGTATCGTAAAGCGGGGCTTTTTAATTTTGATGCTTTGGAGGATCTAGCACTATAAACACTTCCGTCCGCTATCTCACCCCACCTATGACGATCCAAAAAATCATTCGGGATTTGGGTGACTGCATTTTCAGTAGGAAAACCGAAAATGTGACTAACCTCATTTATGGATAATTCAAAATTTCTTCCTAGGAGTCTAAATGTGACTTTATTCCTAAAACTGTCAGCTGGAAATTTAATTGATGCAGAAAAGGAGCTTAAAAATTCTAATGTGAGGGGAGGATACACCGGGTCTTTCATTTGAATAAAGGCACCCCACCGGGTCTTTGCATTTCGAATAAAGGCACCCCAACCTACAGCGTTTGAACGGTTCAATCACAGCATCTTTAAGCCCCACAATTGACAAAGCATGATCATCAATAAATTTACTTTGGTAATGAGGGCGTAAGTAGAAGTTTACTTGTACCTCTCTAACTGGTCACGGTGAAACCCATATCCAAATGGAGGCAGTGGGTGTAGTGTCCGAGAAGAAGGCGTGGAAGATCTTGGTGGTGGAGCCTCTCTGAGCCCGCTACTGATGAGAAGAAACGGCTGGCGCTTGTAACCTAGGAGGCATGAAATGTGAAAAAATGATTGAAGAAAATCAGATATAAGTGCAAGAAAGATGAGAGAAAATGAGAAGAAAATGAGAGAAAATGAGAAGAAGAGGCTTGTGACGGCTAGGGCGTCGTTGCGTTAATGATACAGCCGCTAGGGTGGCGTGTCATTTAAATAAGGTAGCTGCGCCGACATGGGCAGTGCAAAGGACTACGGCCAGGGCGTGCACTCCTCCTGGAAGTTCTGCGGTGAATAAGAGGCGCACAGCCGTTGCGTGATTGACAGCGGTGCCCGGCGTGCACCACTCTCTGGAAGTCCTGTGCAGGGCCTTATCTTACCTGGCAACGGGCGTGTGGTTCTGCACGCCCTGTGGGGCCAGCATGAAGGCAGCGGGCGTGCAAACTCTGCAGCGTTCTATTTGGGCGTGTTTCGTTTTTTTTTTTTTAAGCTTAATTTTCTTTTGGGATGCATTTCGGTTAGCTAATTACATACCAAGATCATCTTTAATACTTTTTTTTTTTTTTTTGGCAATTGTAAAAAGCAATTAAAGTTATTAAACAAACTCATAAAACAAAATAATTCAAAATGGAAAAGTGGGTGTCTCCTAAGGCACCGTTTGTTTTAACGTCGTTAAGTTCGATCGTATCGGAACCTGATTCAAACTTACCTCAAGATTTGATAGCGGTTTTAAACAGGATCAAAATTCCCACTTTGGGTAAACCTTTAATCGGTGAGCATTAACTTTGAAACTGCGGTCACTGTTCCATCAATCTCTACTGCTCCAGCGGGAAAATTTCTTTAATCGTGAAGGGCAGACCACTTCGAGCCGCAGTTTTTCCTGAAAAAGGCGAGGTCTAGATATAGAGTAAATACCTGCTGGCCTACCTTAGATTCCGCATAATAATTGACGCTTATCATGCCACTGTTTTTGTGCGTTCTTTAATAGGATCTTGCATTTTCTAAAGCGTGAAGCCTCATTTCAATCCATCTATTCAATTGAAGCAACCTTAATTTTGACCAGCTTCCTAGTTCAAAGTTAAGAAATTTGAACTTGGCCCAATATGGCTGTTATTGCTACCACTCCGACCCAGGGAGTGACATAGCTTACCGTACACCAATTCGATATGGTGACATGCAGATTGGTGTCTTAGAAGCAGTTCTATAGGCCCAAAGAGCATCATCGATGCTTCTTGGACCATCCTTCCTTGATTGGCCAACATTGCTCCTCCAAAAATCTTCTTGATGTTCCCCGGTCGTGACTTCTACTTGTACGGCTTGGTTTTGAGGTCGTGATAATGGAGTACCTACACGATTGGGTAACGCACTGATCTGGAAGAGGTAGTGAGTCAAGTACTTGTTACAGAAATGCTTACCTCCATCGGTGATTATTGCCTCTTGGAAGTAGCGCATGCCGGTGTGAAAATGTTTTCTTCGATGAAGCTCATTACACTTTTGGCAATCGTTAATTGGAAGGGCAAGCAGCTTTCTGCCTATTTGTATTATCATAAT